CCTGGTTCTGCTCACTTCACTCAGCATCAGTTCATGTAAGTCTTTCCAGGCTTTTCTGAAATCTGCCTGCTCATCATTTCTTATAGAACAATAGTATTCCATTGCATTTCTATACCACAATTTGTTCAGCCATTCCCCAATTGATGGGCATCCCCTCAATTTTCAATTCTTGGCCACCACAAAAAGAGCTGTTATAAATATTTTTGTACATATGGGCCCTTTTCTCATTTTTATGATCTCTTTGGGATACAGACCTAGAAGTGGTATTGCTGGGTCAAAGGGTATGAACAGTTTTATAGCCCTTTGGGCATAGATGAACTCCACATTTTAAGAAGGACATTGACACTAGAAAGTGTCCAGGGGTGGGTGACCAGGATTATAAGGGAACCAGAGACACTATTCTATGGAAGGAGTTGGGAATGTTTATCTGGAAGAAGAAAATATTTAGGGGAGAAAGGATAGCTAGCTGTCTCCAAGTATTTTTCTTTAAGAAGGGCTTTTTGAGGAGAGCAATTTGGTATGTTCTTTGGTCCTAGAGGGCAGAACTTGGAACACTGATTGAAAGTTACAGGGAGGCAGATTTGGGTTCAGTGTTAGGAAAATCTTCTAAACCATCAGAGCTCTCTAAAAGTGGAGTGAGCTGCCTCGGGCAGTAACTCGTTCCCCATTGATTGAGGTTTTAAAAAATTGTATTATTTATTCATTCTTTTCTTTTTAAATTTTGAGTTCCAAATTCTCTCCCTCCCTCTTACCCCTCTCTTACCCACTGAGAAGGCAAGCAACATGATCTCAATTATATATGTGAAATCACTCAAAACATTTCACATTAGTGATATAACAAAAAAAAAGCAAAAAAAAGAAAGAAAGAAAGAAAATTATACTTTAGTCTGCACTCAGAGCTCATCAATTCTCTCTTGGGATGTGGATAGCATTTTTTCATCATGAGTCCTTTGGAATTGTCTTGGATCATTGTATCGATCAAAGTCGTCAAGGCTTTCACAGTTGATTGGCAGAGGTTTTAAAGACATTTCTGGACAAATTCTGGATTAGATGACTTCTGAGGCACGAGATTGTCAGCTCTACGGGGTCAAGGATGTAGTCTCAGTGTCTTAATCATCTCTTCACCTTAGGGCTAGGCTCTTGCCACATGTTTATTGAGTTGAATCTAATTGAATTGAATTGAATTAAGATAAATTGAACATGAATTGGCTCATAGAATCTGGTTCATAGTCATTGGATATTCCTTAAGCACCTGCTGTGTGCAGAGTACTGTGTTCTGAACTGAAAGAGGTACAAAGTTTAGGTCGGGTATGTTCCCTGCTCTCATGGAACTCATAGAGTAATAGAAGGAGGAGGATAATACACACAACTATAAATTCTGCTCCCCAGTAATCCGTGACAGATGCACTGGAGAGGTGCAAAACCAAATGGCATGTAAGGGCATAATAAGAAGACTCTAACTGATTATAAGAATCAGGGAAGGCTTCTTGGAGGCGGTAGTATTTGAATTGGGCTTTGAAGGGTGGGTAGAAATTCCATAAGCAAAGACAGGGAGAGAGGGTGCTTGAGGTGTAGGGAGCAGGCCAAGTACAGGTACAGAGTTGAAAGAATTCTGGGCATTTTCAAAGAATGATACATAGTATCATAGATCCCAAATTGGAAAAGAGGCTGCGTAGTCCAACTCTTCATTTGACAGATAAGGAAACTGAGACCTAGGGAAGTGAAATGACTTGTCCAAGATGACAGGAATGTGATTTGAACCCAAGACCTCTGATACAAGTCTGATATCTTTAATGATATACCACAAGTTCCTAGATCTACAGCTGGAGGGAATCATAGAGGCCATTGATTCCAAACCACTGATTTTACAGATGAGGAAAATGAACCACACAGCAATTAAGGGTCCTGCCCACAGTTGCATAGCTAATGAGTTTCTGAAGTAGTATTAGAATCCAAGTCTTCATATTTACTAGTCTATTCATTGCATTGTGCTGCATCACTTCTGGAGCACTGTGGAGGGGAGTAACATGAGATAAGTGTGGATAAGTAGTGTAGCATCAGATCTTGGAGGGCTTTGAATGCCAGGCAAAAGAGTTGGAATTCTATTTAGTAGGCAATAGGGAGCCAAATCAGGAGAACAAGTTGCCAGTAGAACGTAAGCTCCCTGAAGGCTGGGAATGTCTCACTTTTGTAATTATATCCCCAGCACCTACCGCAGTGCCAAGCACACATAGTAAGCACATAACAAATGCATATTAGTTAATTGATTGATTTTTGACCAGTCTATGCATAAATAAAATTGTTCTGATAAAATGTGGAGGTTGAATTATAAGGGAAAGACAGTAGAGGTGGGAAGACCTACCAGGAGATTCTGTAACTGGAAGTACTCCCCCAGGGCTGGGCATCTTGTTTAGGCAGTCAGTTTGCTTCTGAGAAATGTATGAAGCAGCCTCAGCTAATTTTGGCTGGGGACTTTAGCCCAAGTATACCTCAGCCCCCTCTGTGGGGCCAAGGCTAGATTAATGATTGCATGGGTCTAGCCGAGGGGACCCAAGGCAGAGAGATCCTACAACAACTGACCTTACCTAGCTTCCCAGAAAGAGCATCCATTACATACCGGGAGCCAGGCTCAGTCCCTGAGGAGGATGTTAGGGACATGAGTCAAGTGAGTGTCCCTTTGTCCCTATGGGGAGGGATCTAGAAACAGAAGAGGAGGCATGGCTAGTCTGTCCTATGAAATCTGCATGTAGTGTCCTTTTTTTATTCTGAATTTTGAAATATCTTTATTGGTGCCTTTTGTCATTCAAAAAATATTCATTTCCCACCACTCCCCTTTCATATTGAATCCTCCCTTGTGACAAAGGAAAACAATTAAGCAAAAACATCTAATAAAGAGACCATGTCTGACAGTGAATGGAGTAAAGCCCAAAGCCAATGGAACCCAAACTTACCCTAATTCTAAACCTCACCCATATTCTGCCACTAAACCAGACCCTAACCTAACCCTTAACCTTAATTCCAAACCCTTATGCTGACATCCATCCTAACCCTCAAACAAAATGAAGTGAGCAGAGCCAGGAGAACAATTTATATAACAACAATACTATAAAGACATACAATTTTGAAAGACTTGAGAGCTCTGTTCAGTATAGTGACTAACCACTATGATGAAACATGCTGGCCACCTCATGGAACAGAGATGATGGCCTCAGAGTGCAAACGGGAGCATTTCTCCATTCTGACCCTCAGTCTCCTCCTCCATAAACTGTGGAAAAGGAATACTCGTACTCCTAATTCACAGGACTAAGAAGGAAGCTTTTTTTGTAAACCTAGAACTTAAAGAAAACTATGTGAATATGAATTCTTCTGTAATGAGGAACTGAGTAAGATAAAAATGGGAAAGGGAGTCCAGAGTCAAACTGTGAGAAGGGTCTTAAGTCCTGGGCATGGATTTTATCCTAGAGGTGATGAGGAATCATAAAAAGGTTTTGAGCAGGAGAGTCTGCTGGATTTTAGGAAGACTACTCATGGGTTCATTAAATCAGAGGATTCAGAGCTAGAAGGAACCCTGGAGATCATCTATTCCAACCATCTCTCTCTCTCTCTCTCTCTCTCTCTCTCTCTCTCTCTCTCTCTCTCTCTCTCTTTTTTGGTTAGGCAGTGGGGTTAAGTGACTTGCCCAGGGTCACACAGCTAGTAAGTGTTATGTGTCTGAGTCCGGTTTTGAACTCAGGACCTCCTAAGTCTAGGGCCAGTGCTCTATCCACTGCACCACCTAGCTGCCCCTCATCTCTCTTGTTAGATGAGGAAATCAAGGTTCAGGGAAGGGAAGGCATTTATAGTATGATAATTATATTCTATTCATACAGGTTGTAAATAATAGAGCTTGTAGCAGTGTGTGCAGCAGGAGGGAAAGGGTAGGAAGGTACCTACTGAAGGTCTGAAGGCCAGTTAGGAGGCACTGAGGACCTTGACTAGGACTGGAGCTCAGGGAATGGACAGGAAAAATGAAAATTAGATGACTTTGTCAATCATTCAGCAAGCATTTATAAAACACTTGCTATGTGCCCACGCTGATTGGATGGTAGGGCAGGGAAAAGGAGATGTGAAGGGTGACGCTGATGCCTTTTATATGACAGGCAGGTGTGGAGGAGGAGCAGGTTTTGGATGAGGGAAAGAGGGAGAGATTATGAGCTAAGTCTGCTTCCTGTGTTCAGAAGCTCCCAGCTCCTGGATAAAAAGTCCCTTCGGGAAATCTATACCTGCTGGCCACCCACCTGTCTGAATTGATAGTGCTATCTATCTACCCCTGCCTCCTCCACTCCAGGCTTAAAAGGCTAGAGGCTGCTTGATCAGGGGTACAGACAGGTATGTTCCCCAGGTTGCTCAGACCTTAATTTCTGGACCTAATGTGGGCTTTCGTCAAGCCCTGCAAAGTTCAGGATGAAGTCTTACTAGAAGCCCAGATCCCTGTTCTTCCCCACCCTTTCCCCCAGACAAAATCCACAGCACTTTGAGACCTCATAGGGGAAGGCTTGTCCTTAGGTCTGAGTGCTGTGCTGTGACACCTGTGCCCGTACCCCAGCTGCCTGATGCCCTTGGGTGAGGCCCCTCCCTGTGCCAAAGGCTTGATCTCCTCGAGTAGAAAGTGAGGAATCTGTCCATCCTCACCCCTACCTCGGAGCTGCTTCATGTTCCTGGTCTCTGAGCTCAGCGTGGACTTGGAGACAGACGACATGGAGTCTAATCCTAGCACTTCACTTAGAAACTTATACAGTGTAACTACAAATCACTGTCTCTTTGTGCCTTCATCTTCTTATCTGTAGAGACGATTGGACTAGCAACTTCTGAGGTCCTTTCCAGAATAACCACCTGTGATTCTTTTCTCTTCTTCCCTCCCCTCCCCTCCCTTCCCCTCCCCTCCCCTCCCCTCCCCTCCCCTTTCTTCTCCCTTCCTCTCCTTTCCTCTTCCTTTCCTTCTTTTCTTTTCAGCTGTGCTTCTGTCTTTCTGGACTTTGCCACCATGCCTTAACTACCCTGTCACCTTGGGAATTCCTTAGCACCTGGGATCCTCTAATCCTGGAACATCCGTTTGCCATGCCAACCCACCTTTCCCACTGGTAAGTTCCTTCTGGGAGCTCCATTCTGGGGACAGTCCCAGGCCATCCATTCTCCTCTCACCTGTGCATCTCTCTCTCTCTCTCTCTCTCTCTCTCTCTCTCTCTCTCTCTCTCTCTCTCTCTCCCTCTCTTTGAGGCAATCAGGATTAAGTGACTTGCCGAGGGTCACACAGCTAGTATGTGTCTGAGGCCACATTTGAACTCAGGTCCTTCTGACTCTAGGGCCAGTGCTCTATCCGCTGTGCCATCTAGCTGGCCCTGTGCTTCTCACTCTCAAGACTTTGCCACCATCCCACCCTGGTAGGTGCCTCTCTGCCCATCCCCTTTCCTCTCCCTTTTATGTGCTGTTTTTCCCTCATTAGAATGTAAACTGCTTGAGGACAGGGAATGTCTTTCTTTTTGCTTGTATTTATATCCCCTGAGCTTAGCACAGTATCTGACACATAGTAAGCCTTTAATAAATGCTTATTGTCTTTTTTCCTTTTTTCAGTTAAAAAGGATTTACTTTCTCTCCCTCCTACCTCTTCTCCCACTGGAAAAGAAAAGTAAAACAAAACCATTGTAGCAAATATGCAAGGTTTAGCAAAACAAATTCCCACATTAGCCCAGTCCAAAAATGTGTATCTCAGTCACATGAATCCAGTCAATCACCTCTCTTGTGTGAAGTGGGTACTGTTATCCTTTTACTAAGACTTGGTGGGATTTTTCCGGGGTCAGAGAATTTCACACCCAAGAGGGACCTCAGGGATCATCTTGTCCAGCTCTTATCAGTTACATGAATCTCCCCATAACACCTCCAAACAAGTGGTTATGTCTCTGGGTTCAGCCCTAGGACCCCTAAGCGGTAGCTTTCCCCTCCACCGAAGGTCCCCAGGAATGGGGTGGGGGGAAGTCTAGATGGACTCCATGTTCTGGAAGGTGAAGGCCTGCTGACCTCTTGCTGATCGTTGCTCTGGCTCCAGGGAGGTTTGCCAGGCTTCAGTGGTTCTCCCAGCCTAGGCAATAGGCCAGCAGCCTGTGATCCCCTATTGCGGGGCAGAGTTCACAGATCAACCCTCAGTACACTATATTAGGCCTAAAATAGCTTCCCCCAGCACCTCTTCATCTGGGTCGTTGCCACCTTTCCTGAACTAATGTGATGCTGCAGAGGGCTGCAGTGCCAATAGAATTCTACCCAGAAACTCACTCAAGGTCTTATATCTTAGGGCTCTTCATACCTCAATCTCCATGCTTCCTGAGGACTTGCCTGGCTAGAAGTAACAGCCTTCAATAAACCTCATTTTCTTCTCTGGTGCAGCCAGTGAGTCAATACTCTCATGCTCACATAGGTGTGAGCATGTGTGTGCACATACAGAATCACTTAGAGGAAACTTCACTGCTAAAAGACAATGAAAATGGTCAGGAGAGTTTCATCAACTCCCTTTTCCAACTGCCCTCATGGAGCCCAGAATAGAATGAATTCAGGGCCCAGTGAGAATGGCTGCTCCTTTCCTATGTATCCTTGATCTTTTCTCCTTTTCTCTCTTCATGTAGGATCGACACCTCGGAGTCATTTTTGACCCCACTCCTCTCATCCAGTCAGCTGCTAAATCCTGTCCGTTGCACACAATATCTCTTCTTCTTTTTTTTTTTTCACAATGTCTCTTCTATCTGTCTCTTTCTACACTGGCACCATCCTTTTGCCCTTTGCCTAGAGAGGTTAAGTTTGTTTTACCTCTCAGTGGCCCAAGAAACTCTCCAAGACCATACATTGCAGAGCAGATGTCAACCTATACCAATAGGGGGAATGTTCACACTGGAAGTTCTCTGTCCCCTCTGATAAAAAAAAGTCTGTCCCTGCTCCTCCCAGTAGCAGCAGCTGCCCCAATATTGAGAGATGAATTGCAACCTCACTGTCTCCTTCCCAGTTTGTAATAGTTGTTCTTAGGCTAGCCAGAATGCTCTGAGGAGGGAAGCCTTCCTGGGACCCCCAAGCCAATGGCTATAGTAAGGAATTCTCTCACCAACATCAGCTTCAAGTCTTGAAGCCTGGGCTCATACAAACAGGCTGCTAGCTCAGCATCCTTACTGAAATCTCTGGTGGACTTTCCCATTCAGGTAGCCACAGTGCTATCCTCAACGATAGTGAGGGAGAGAGAGACAGAGACATACACACACAGAGAAAGAGAGTGAGGGAAGGAGATAAAAGAGGGGAGGAGTGAGTGAGGAGAGAGAGAAAGAAAGGGAGAAAGAGAGGGAGAAAGAAAGAGAGAGAGAGAGAAGAGAGACAGAGAGAGAGACAGAGAGACAGAGAAAAACACATCAACCTAGTCTGGCAGGGGATGCAATGTCACATAGGCACATCACACTCAACATCTCCAAAACTGAATGCATGATGTCTCCCACCCCCAAGCTCTCCCCTCTTCTGAACTCTCCTGTTACTAATGAGGGCAGCTCCATCCTCCAAGTCACTCATGCTTGAAACTTTCTTATGTCATCCTCCACTTTTCACTCTCACACTTCAGTGTGCTGGTAAACGTTTAACAACCTGTTACTGGAAAAGTACACAGGACGCACTTTTAAGTTTAAGCTGCATAATTTGTATTTTTTTTTGTCACTTTTCTAAGTCTACACAATCCACAAAACAATAATTCAGGTCCCAGTTGGTAGGGATGGCCAATTTCTGAGGTGTAAATGCTCACACTGAACATTTAACAATTGACTCTGGAGGTTGCTTCTCACTCTCCCCACATACTCCATTTGCCCAATGTTGTGGTTTTTCTAACCTCACAACTTCTCTAGTATCTGTCCCCTTATCTGCTTTTACATGACCACCTCTCTTATACAGGCTATCATTATCTCTTGCTTGGATTATTACAATAGCTTTCTAATAGGGCTCCCTTCCTCAAGTCTCTCCTTAATCCAGCCCATCCTCCACTCATCTGCCGATGTGATTGTCCTGAAGTGTAGGTGTGCTGCGCTTTGGCCAGGCCCTGCTGTAACCCCAATAGAGATACATATGCCGAGGGCAGGGGCCATAACAAGAATTTAACTAGGTGGTAGCAGAAAAAAAAACAACAACAAGGCTGTAAAATGTAAAATAGATGTGCTTCAAGCCACATAGATCCTGTCTTGACTTACTCTAGCAACTTTCTAGGGCTGATGCATCACCCAGTCTCTGGGGATAAAAGCCAAATGCAAGAAAAGAAGTCATAGCTCTTCCAACCAGATGAAACCTTCACCTTGGTCAGGCTGCCATGAGATCTGGACAGGGGAATGAGCCTCCCTGTCGGGAAACGGAGAGAAGCGGGGAGGGATCTATCCACTGATAGCCACCATGACATATCTTTGCTCTGTGTGGGACACTGCATGCTTAACTGACTAAGTCAAGCCTTTTGACTACCCTCTTTGCTTGCTTTGGATTAGTCATTTTCATTATCTCAGTACCTGATGGCTGCTTCACCCTCCTACAGTAGTAGATCACCCTTGTCACTCCCCTCAGATTCCTAAGACCTCCAAGATCAAATATAAACTCCTCTGTTTGTCATTCAAAGGTCTTCGCTACCTGGTCCCTTCCTATTTTTTCCAGCCTTCTCTAAAGGGTTTTGCCTTTCTTTGGGTACCAGTACAGCACTTGGGTTGTCTATCTACATATTCTCATTTTGTATATGTTGTATGGACTTTTCTGATCTCATAATTCCTTGATTATACTTTTTATGCCATTTCTTGTCTGAAAAAAAGAGTTGGTAATATGCTATAGCCTGCTTATGCCTGTCGTGAATCACTTACAATTAGGTCACCTATAATTTTGATTATGGTATTCAGTGATTCATAGGTATAGAGCATCAGAAAGAGAACAGTGGTGTTAAACCTATCATTGAAGGTGCTCCGCAGTGTCTCTTTTTATTTTAAATGATTTTTAAAAAATTACTGAAACTTAAATACACAATAAGAAAGGAAAAAGAAACATATCATAAACTTAAATAGTGAAACATAAATATGAAATAAGAAAAAAAAAGCATGACGTGTACAGCAGAACATGAGAGGATTCAAAATATATAGCAATAAATTTCCATTTCAAGAAAGCCTATATAATAAATACTACTCATTGTGTTGAGCTGTCCATTTTTTCTTTGCATCCTTGTTAGTTTTCTTTTGTTCTCTATTGTGCACTTTTTACTCTGTTTTTTTTTCTGCTCTCCCCCCCACACACCCTGAAGGCTACAATTAAGCAGATATATTTATATATAGATATAGATATATAGATGGTATAAAATAATTACTATTTTTAGCTGTTCCTAAATGGTTTTACTTTTTAAAATCATATCATACTCAGGTCTACCCCAATTTTTCTTATGAACTACCCAATTACTAATAATAATCTTAGACACACATTTTCCATTTTCCATACATAAAAGGTAAACAACTCTGTCCTTATTGAGTCCCTTGTAATTAGTCTTTGGTATGTATCTTATATTTCTCTTGGCTCTTATATATCAAATCTTCTATTAAGCTCAGGTTGTTTTTTTTAAACAAAATTCTGAAAGTCTGACAGTTCATTAAATGTCCATTTTTTTTTCCATTCAGGATTATGCTTAGTTTTGCTGGATATGGTATTTTTGGCCAGAACCGGGTTCTTTTGCTCTTCAGTACACAGTGTCCCAAGACTTGCAGTCTTTTAGTGTCACCACTGCTAGGTCTTGTGTGATTCTAATTGTGGCACTGCCATACGTAAGTTTTTTTTTTCCTTGTTGCTCATAATATTTCATCCTTGAGCTGGGGGTTTCAGAATTTGTCTATAATATTCCTATGGGTTTTCCTCATAAGACCTCATTCAGGTGGTAATCAGTGGATTTTTTCTATTTCTACTTTCCCCTTGTTCTAATGCTTTAGGACAATTTTCTTTAATTATTTCTTGTATTATTCTATCAAGATTCTTTTTTTGATCATAGCTTTCATGTAGTCTGATAATTCTTCTGTTTTCCTTCCTGATCTGTTCTCCAGATCAGTTATTTTTCTTA